CAAAAACGTGAAAGTGCTAATAACTCCTAAAAAGCTTGTCATACACTCCAAAATTTTACATTTTTGGAATCCTTGGGTCAAGACAAATTAATAATGGTCAGTCTGATTTTGGGTCTAGGAGGTCTCGTTTTTCGGCAAACTTTAACTATGTTCAAAACTTACTTTTGCGAACTAGTCCTAGGTTTTTTGCCTTATTGGAACCAAACCACTGCAGAAATATTCTCTGGACAGTGAATATCAATAATTATCAAAAAAAAGTTGAAATTTCGACTTTCATGCGCAACAGCGTGCAAAGAAACATCTATGCTAACGTTAGCCAAATGTTATTTTAGCTATAACTCTTGAACGGAATGAGTTATCAAAAAAACGTTGAAATTTCGACTCACTGTTGCAATGGGGCGCCAAAACGTTCGAAAGTCGCAGGCCAATTTTACGAAAAAGGCTATAACTTGTGAACTAAATAACATATCTTCACTAAACTCGGTACACATGTGTATGAGCTCGATCTTTGGTCAAATGTATAAAAATTGCGCAGATCTGCCACTTGGTGGCGCTATAAGATTAAAAAAACTGTAACTAGGCAACCGTTGGTCCGATCAACTTGAAAATTGGTATGCAGTGTCTTTGTCCAAAGCAGCACAAAAGTCTATGAGGAAATTTCCGGATCTCAAAAAACATGGCCGCCATTGGCCAAACAAATTTAAGCACCTATTTGACAAGGTTAACGGAGGTCAATCAGAACGAAACTCGGTGGGCATGTTCGAGTCATGGCCCTAAAAGTCTGTAAGAATTTTGAACGAAATCGGCCACTAGTTGGCGCGAACGAAATTTATGGCTCAGTAATCACGTGGTGTTTCACTCATTCACACAATATGCATATCATTTGATAGAACTCCTCATAATGAGAAACTTTGCCTCAAAAACCATTGCTGTCAATCAAATCATTCATTAAATATTTACATGTATGTTAAAAACCGAACTAGTCCTAGGTTTTTTGCTCAATCTCGATCAAACCACTGCAGTAATATTCTCTGGACTGTCTAGATCAATAATTATCAAAAAAATGTTTAATTTTGTTCTTTGGTTGCCTTTAACGGGGGCATTTAGAAAAGGGTGTGGTCAAATATACCCCAAAACCTATAAAACCTAAACGAAAACTCCAAACTTTACGAAACTTGGTGAAAACATGTGTCCGATGACTTTTAGCAAGCATGCGAAGTTTCATGGAGATCGGAACATAGTTGGCGCTATAACAGTTGGAAAGGCCTCAAAAATACAATATTTGTGTAGAAAATGACCTCAAATTGTAGAACATGTACATATATTCACAAAAACACAAGATCTTCATATCATATGATAGACCTC